CCTCCTCCTCAACATATATTAAATGAAGGGTCCAGTTCAAAGTTCCCTGAAGCTTACCCAGATAGACAGACTTGATAAAGACTGCAGACTACTACTCCTATGATTTGTTTCTTCAAGACCTTGGAGTTCATGGTTCTCTACAACCTTCTGTCCTTTGTAGCTCTTAATAAATATTCTCTTTTTGTTATCTCTCCTAAATCCTGTTCTGCCATCCATTTACTAGGTAGGTTATGGGTTGTTTTCCTCCATTGCTATTGTCTTCAGTATGTACTGTGAGTATCAAATTTACCATGCCCTCTTTCCTCATTATGTGCTCTAGAAATTTCAACTCTCTCTGATGTTAAGTTTTAGTGTCCTTTTTGGTATCCATTTTCTCCAAAACTTCCTCGTTGCTCACATATTTGGTCCATGATATTCTCAGTATCCATCTGTAGAACCACATCACTTTTGCCTCGAGTCTCTTCTTCACCTGTGAGGAAATTGTCCAGCATTCACTGCCATATTTGGAGGGCTGATATTATGTAACAATTCAGTATTCTTTTCTTTGTTTCTGGCTTAAGGCCATATTATGTTGAAATGCCAGTTCTCATACAATCACCAAAGTTAAGAAACATCAAGCCTGGTCAGTACCCAAATGGGTGACTGCTTGGAAATGCCAGGTATTGTAAGTTTGTATGTGTGTGTGTAGTGCAATGAATGACGGCTTAGAATTTGAAATCCGAGTGCAGAGTTCCAATTTCAGTTGGGTTCATTATATTGCTTTATGTGCAAAATATCCATAGGAAAGGTATAAATCCTCCTCATCATCATCTCCCCTCCCGCTATGGGTTAATTAGTAGGACTTATATCAGTAAAACATTATTATCACCAAAAAATTCCCATCCTGAGTATGATGATGAACACATCCACATCCTGGGTAAGACGATAAACTACGTCCAACAGCAAAGCCTCTGATGAGTAGGTTTTGAGGAGTGTGGAACCACCTCTTAATTGCTGATGTTCTCAGTTCCACCCTGACTCAGGGTGGTAGCACCTGTTAGGGTCCCAGCTATAGGTAAATGGTTAACCCCCAAACTGGGGTCAAAATATTATGAAAGTGTAAAAATAGGCTTTAATACCAGAAATACTTTGCAAAAAATTATTACCAGCAATACCTATTTGGGAAAAAAAATATTACCACCAATACATTTTTGAAAAAAAAAAAACATTACCAGAAATAGATTTTTGAAGAAAAAATATTACCAGCAATATAAATGTTGTCAGCATTAAATAACCCATTGAGGTGTTGATGTACCGTAAAACAAAACAAACTAAAAGATTTTTACAATGCCAAAATATTTTATAACTTTAAATAACTTGCAAAAGGTTGATAATCTATAAAAAAAAAAAATCAAGAAATAAAACAATCTTTGTTTCTAACAAATTTTTTCTGTTTCTAAATACTTTCCTTAGCCTTTTGAAAGGCATCATTTGCTATCACAATGCACTTTCAGATTTCAATGTTACAGTTTCCATCCTGTGTTAAAACACTTTGTAAATATTTAAATTGTTGTGCTGAAACATTGTGGTAATAACAACAAAGATGTGGACATTAGTCCCAATATAAATAAAAATCTCACTTTGTATTTGTTTCTACATTTCTGTAAACAAAGAAAATAGTGTGAGATTTCAAACAAACAGACCAAACACTATTACAATGTATTTATTATCTTCTGCTTCTGTTGTTGTTTTTTTTTTTGTTTGTTTGTTTTTTTCTTTCCTTGCTTTTTTTTTTTTTATCTTGAAATTCCTTTTCATTCAGTCAGGATGTGGCCCCACCTAAGAAGTAAAGCGGAAATTAAAGGGAGAAACAATGTAGCTTTTTGTTGTTAGTGTGAACATTTCTTTCTGACAGAAAAGCACCCTGAGCATCTCTTCAAACATACAGTTTTAGACTCGGCTACCTCAGAGGCTGTCCTTGACATGGACATGATTGAAGCACAATAAGAAAGAATTCTAGATAGATTTTATGTCACCATTGATGAGCTACAGAGGGTTCTGGCTACTTTGGAGAGAAAGAAAATAGGCCAGTCTTTCCAGACATTTTGGATAAATGAAATTTCAACATAGACATATAGCAATGCACAGATTAAAAACAATTTCATTAAAGACAAATTGAAGGAATTGTGGGATAGAAAAGTGATCAAATAATCAGATCAAGAAAAAAAATCTTGTGTTCTTGCATAATTTCATGCCATTTATAAAATTTAAATTTTCCTTTATTGAAAAGTATTAGATTTATTTTTTGCTAACATTATTCAAGCTTTGATTTGGGAATTTCTGTCAATATTATAAATTTTTGTATTTATATATGATTTTGTTGTATATAATTCATATATAAATAAGTGTGTATGTATGTCCATATATATATATATATATATATATATATATAAAAATGAATAAAGAAAATGAAAGGAAAAACTAATTCTAAGCTGACATGTTTTCGTTCTGTGAGGGACTTTATCAAGGCTAATATAAGGATTTATTTTGGTGCATGTGTTTTTTTTATATATATATATATATATATATATATATATATATATGAGCAAGAATGTCATTGGTTTATCAAGGCTTTTAAATTTGAGAACATTATGAATATTTATCAGGTGGCTGAAAGCTCAATTAAAACATGTGGAGAACACAAAGTGCCATAATTCAAAGTTTGGTAAAACAAAAGTAAGCGAGTGATACCAAACTTTGAATTATGGCACTTTGGTTCCTTGAAGTGAGCTAGTAAATTAGTTTTGAAAAAGTATCCAACCCTCAATCTTTATAAGTTTCTTCAAAATCCAGAAATTGGCCCAAAACTCTTGGCCTATAGTGTGTGTGTGTTTGTATGTATGTATGTATGTATGTATGTATGTATGTGTGTGTGTATATATATATATATATATATATATATATATATATATATTCTGAAGATTGTATTCAAGCATGAAACAGATTTTGGTTTTGGCCTTACTGATTTTTTTATTTATTAATCTGATATCTTTATTACTTAAACATAAGTTTGTAGCAGATGCTCGTATTTGAGTAGATACTGCCTTTATTTATTAAACAGTATATCTATTTATTTTTGTCTAGACATAAATAAATCTACTGTTTAATAAATAAATAGAATGTTTACTAAAATAGGAGTATCCATTAAAAAATAATGTTTAAGTAATGTGTATATATAATTTTTTCTAGTATTCAAATAATGTTTTGCAAATGTGGCTTTTGACTCACTTGTGTCAAAGTCAGGAGTTTGAGTAACAAAAGAAAATCAAATGTATTCTATACAACACATTTTTTAAAGACTCTTTTTTTTTTTTGTTTGAAAGCTAAATCTAATAGAGTAAAACAGAGTAAATCATGTCAAGCTTGAGCTGTGTCTCTAGATATCTCAAAGGCATTTGACAGGGTTTGGCACACTGGTCTTCTCTGCTAACTCCAGGGGTACAGTATCAGAGGATGAATGTTTAATTTAATACCATCAAATTGTGAAATGAAGGTCATTTTGAATGGACTCACTTCCAGATCATTTCATATGAATATGGGTGTCCTACAAGGCTCTATCCTGGGTCATATGCTGTTTCTAATCTTCATCAATGATCTCCCCAATATATCCCTGTCTCAATAGCAAATCCATCAGATCTGACAAAGTAAACCTGTGCGCTGCTCTTGAAAAAAAAAACTCCAAGCAATTGTTAACCGGGGCAAGAAATGGCTTGTAAATTTTAACACCTCCAAAACAAAACTGCTTTCAATTAACCACCATAGAGAACCTTTTCTGCCTATTATCAGCATGGCTGATGCTAAACTCCTGAAGCACAACACACTGTACTTGCTTGGATTTTTCCACTGACTTGAAGTGGAGAGACTACATCAAATCAATAGCTGCATCTATTGCAAGGAAAGTTGGGTCACTATTTTGCGCCAGAAAATTTTTTCTATCAAAATCTATCTTGCACATTCACAAATCTACCATTTGTCCATACATTGAATACTGCTACCATATCTGGTCTGGTGTTCCTGCTATATATCTTGAGATTATTGACAAAATCCATAGAAGTATCTGTAATGTAGTCAATCTGGAACAGGCATCTCAAATTCAATCACTTTCTCACCAATGTGGCATGGCTTCCCTCTGTCTTTTCTATAAATATTTTCATGGTAACTGCTCTGATAAGCTTTTTCCCCTGGTGCTATAACTACATCAATTTAATCATGTCACTAGATTGGCAACAAGGGTTTTGCTGTTTTAAGGTTCAAATAGCTAAATGCAACTACCACGTCTACCCCAACTATTTCTTTCCCGCACTTCTCAACTGTGGAAATCCCTATTGTTTTCCTACTTCCCTGATAATTACAATCTTCAAAAATTTAAATGCAACCCCAATGGCCATCGTCTTCCTTCTTGAATCCTGTTCATCTTTTGTATTTTCCTCAATCCTCCCTATACTTTATTTTCTCTTTCACTTTCATTCCCTGTAACCCCCTGCGTACTAGTGGCATTCCCGCTTTATTTGGGGTGAAATGATTAAAAAAAATTGAAGATGAAAAATCAAACTGATTTGCAGTGTGCATTTAAATTGAAACAGCTCTCATGATAATGAAAACTGGCAATTTTTTTATAATATTGATCACCCACCCACATGAGCCACTCAAGGTAGAGAGTTGTTGAATGCAGTTGTAAGACGGTAAAGAGAGGATTTGATTGATTAATTTGTTTTTATGGTTTTTCAACATTTTGCAGGTTATTTAAAGCCAGAAACTATTTTTAAATTGTAAGAATTTTTTTTTTTTTTTGAGATAGTAATTGTTTAGTAATGGAAGTTTTAGTAATTAATCCATACCTTGTAGATTCATAGCTTTCTCAAAGGTATTTGCACATGTGAATAAAACAAATTCCATGGAAACTGGAAAATGAGCTCACTGATTAACAATTTCGAGCCATTATACCACACACATATCCAAGCCTTCAGCACTTAGTATTTCCAAGCAGTCACCCATCTACATACTGACCATGCTCAACTTTGCTTAACTTTAGTGATCATATGGGAATTGGTGATTCAACATGTTGTTTAGCCTATTAATGCCATTTGTACAATCGAGTATTAATTATAAAAATTAATTAAAATTCAATATTAAATATAGGTTTCTAAGAAAATAAAATTAATTATAAGTTTATAAAAAAAAATCCATTAATAATTATAGGTTTATAAAAATCTGGTATTAATTATAGATTTCTAGCCATTAATGGCTAGAAATCGATAAATAATACCAGATTTTTATACCCACCATCCCAGAAATGGTACAGTCGGAATGGCAGCAAATGGAAAAAGGACACCTTATCAATCATTCTTTAACTTAGTTTTGACAATTAGACATCCTCCTCTTTAAGCCTGTTTAGAGGAAAGAAAACAGCACGTCGGCCTCAGGGGAGAGCGTCTTTACATGCATTCATTGCAATTGAGACTGTTACTCCCATGTGGATCTGATCAGCAGCTGTGGCATAACTCCTTGGGTGCAGATCCATGGAGTCTCTTGAGACTGACAGATGCCACATAGTGGGGAGGAATTCTTTTTCCTTTGTTTAGCATAAATCTTCATTTGGGTAACCCTGTATTTTACTTAATGCTGAAAAATATTTAACATTATCATATTTACAACCCTCACAATGAACAGCATTTTCGTTGGCAAGTAATTGCAGCAGCCCCTTGACCTTAAACAAACTCAAAGAAATCTGATCATTTGAGACACTTTATTGAATTGATTTTTTTTTTGTTCAATAACAATCGGAAGACTATCTCATTTGTTGTTGATGAAATTTGAAACTGAATTGGAACAAAAGAAAATCAAAAAACAATCAATAATTTATTGATTAGATTTCTGATTGAATTACCTGAGGATTATGAATCATCAGTTTATTTTGAATTTTTTTATGGTTGGCCTAATTTTTGAGATTTCTAGTGCCAACAACTTCTAGAGAATAAGCAAGTTATTGAGGCTTTATATAAACATCGATAAAACATTGTCATTGTGTACAAACAAAGAAACTGAACATGAAATACAGCTATTCAGATGTTTGACCCACTAGCAGAATTGATTTCACATGGATTGAATTCTACTTGTTAAGATAAAACTTACAGCTTATTTTACTGTCTGTTCATGAATAAAGAATCCAAAGGTGTTGATGAAGCAGGCTTGATTAGGCAGAATTGACAAAATTCTCAGTAACAATGAGAAGAGGAAGGCGAAGAACAGTGTAAAATAATACGTGACAAGACAATGTAATGCAAGTCAAGGCAAAGTAAAGCAACTATGAGACAGTAACAAAAAAGTTCACAAAATAGAAATAATGCTTACATTATAGATCAAGTCATTATAGATTTCTGACTTCAAAGAAAAATTTGAGCATAAGTCTAAGAATTGGTTTTATTGGTAAGGAAGAAATCCCAGCATGCATCTGTAGGTTTGTTCTATAAATTTGGAGTTGGGAGGTTGTGCAGCAGTAATTCGCTAAAATTGAAACCAACACATCTATGTCTCTTTCTTTATTTCTCTCTCTCTCTCTCTCTCTCTCTCTCTATATATATATATATATATATATATAATTATGTATTTGGTCAGAATCCCTCTTTTATACAACTTTTATTAAAAATGACAAACAAGTTACTATGGTTAAGTCTTTTTATTTAATTTTTCTTGTGTTCTTATACTTTTCTCTTTTCTGAATATAAATTATGTAGAAATTATCTGGATGTTTTGTATATCCGAGTGCTTTTGCCTATACTTTTAGCCATTATCAAGGATGATTCTTTTTATTTTTAACTGTTTTGATGATTACTTGCTGTCTGCGTAAATATACCCTATTCATATATATATATATATGTGTGTGTTTAGAAAGATATGACAAAGTGCAAAAGTTTTGTGAAGTGTTTCAAAAACTTTTCCAGTTTGTCATATTTTTCTAAATACTATTTGTTGATATATAGAATTATACAAAATTATATATTGTTATATCATGTGTGTGTGAAGCTAAAGTGTAAAAGCTTTTTACAGACATGTTTTGCCTCTTTATGTCAGTGGTCTTTAGGTTGAAATGAGAGACAAACCGTTCGTAAGTGTTGGAATTTTGATGAACAGGTAATAAAGATTTTTATCATATTCTCAACCCAGAATTTTTTTTTTTTGTATTGAGGCCATTAATGTTTGCTTGATTTTAAATTAACCCACTCTGAGTAGATCTGCTTTTTCTCTGTTAGTTTGTATAACACATTGTGCTATTGTTGCTTTTGCAATAATTGGTGATATTGTATATCACTCCGATCTGAGTTTGGTTGTAAATAACTCTAAAATCAGTGCACTTTCAATAAGTGCACTTTCTTCTAAAGTGAACTTTTTCTTTTCTGATCAAACCAGCATTTATTAGATCAAAATTGTGATCAGAAGTTCACTGTAATGCATACCACTTACACTGGTTCAACTCATCCTCATTTCATTTATATTGGATTAGTAAGGAAGAAGTTCTATACTGGAAGAGCTAATGGTTGCCAACACAGCAACATGCCCGAGTATTCAGAACAGCTTGCTCAGGCACTCAACTCTAGTAGTTTATGTAGAAATCAGAGATGCATTCCAATGGTCACTATTGGTCAGATAACAAATTTGCATACCCTAACAATTTCTTTATCAGCAAGCTTAAGACATTGCTAGCATTTTTATTTTCAGCAAAGAATACACACAAAATGTCCGACAAGACAAATGACTTTTATTATTACAATTTCCACTCAGACTGCTTCTTCCCAAGAACAGATATTTTAGATGCATGATCAGCATCCTTAGAGGATGACCTGAAGTGGTAGCACCTGTTAGGGTCCAAGCTATGGGCAAATAGTTAACCCCCAAACTGGGGTCAAAACATTATGAAAGTGTAAAAATAGGTTTTAATACCAGAAAAACTATTACCAGCAATACATTTTTTGACACAAAATATTACCAGTGAAGGAAAAAATATGACCAGAAATAAATTTTTGGAAAAAAATATTACCAACAATGAAAATTTTGTCAGCATTAAATGACGCATTGAGGTTGATATGCTGTAAAACAAGCCAAACCAAACCAAATCAATCCTTAGAGGATGCTTCCCTGATCACTACAATCTTAACCTCTTCAAGTCTGGTGTCAATTGTTATCTATCATACATATCCTCATAATCTGAACTTCTTACACCATCCCCTTACATCCATGAAACAACCACATTCAGTAACCCTCTACCTTGAGTGGCTCTCGTGCTATAAGGTGAACAGTCAGTTAAGTGTCATACATACTTGGGTAATCATATCTCTCCCAATTTATGACTGAAAATTTTCCCACGGTAAGGTGCCATTTCTTTTTGCAGTAGACTAGTTGCCAACCAAGGCTATAGGACCCAGTCTGTCCCACATTTCAGCCCATAGCTGGGGGCAGAAAAGATGGATTCATACCTTTCCCAAAGGTATTTGTACTTAAGTGAATATAACAAACCCAACTGGAATTTGAACTTGGCTCTCCAATTTTACACCAACATTAACCATTACATAAATTGGCCGCAAAGTAGAGCTATGGTTAATGAAAATTCTAATTTTTACCCTTGACACAAGGTGGGCCATCAACTCTTGACCGACATCAGGAATTCCTGTTCAGGTTTATTTTTATATCACTCTTTGTAAATACTTTATTTTTTTCTGTTACATTAACATTTGTATATCATCCACTTGAGAATCTTTGTTTTGGGTGGATAGCGAGTATTTCATATGTTTGAAGAAGCTGAACAGTAATTCCATGGATGTATGCTACAAACAAGGGCCGAGTAAGTAGGAGTTGGCCTGGTGCTGTTTACCTACTTCCAATTACAACCACAACCACTGCCAGAGGTCAGGGTTCAAGTTCAAGTAAAAGCCTGGAATTTGAAATGCTGCTTTTCAAGGTAGGCATTGAAAAGTTAGCTAAACTTGAAAGACTGGTTTAACCGATTCTTCCCCACCCCTTTTTTCTATATTCGTTAAGTTGTGTTCCATAGATTTGCAATCTCAGCCAAATACTTTTTATCATGTTTAAATTATCCCATATGCATACACATACTCACACATACCCATATATTTTACATGTGTATGCATGTGTGTGCACATATGGACACACATACAGGGTGCGATGGATAAATTTTCATCTAAATTACACAAAATAAAATCAACACTGACATCTCATTTTAACAGATATATTTACAAAAATTCCACAAAATTTCTTGAAATACTAAAGAGTAAATTTATTGAATAAAATCACCATTGGCTTCAACCATGACTTCAAGATGACTTTGAAATCTCCTGCTCCTTCTGGATTATCTCCTTGTTTAAGTTGGTGAATGTTGCCGTAATTGTTGCCTTTAGTTCATCTTTGGTGTTACAAGGAGTTTTGTTGGTCTCTCGCTCAACTGTGCCACAAACATAATAATCAAGGGAATTGCAGTCTGGGGAGTTAGGTGATCAGATGTAAGGGGTGATGTGGTTGCAGAAATTCTCTGACAGCCATGACTGGATTCTCCTGCTTGTGTGGCATGGTGCAGAGTCTTGTTGCCAGATATAGGGTCTTCCATCAGCCACCCTCTTGACCCAGGGTAGCACACCTCCTCAAGGCACTTGATGTAGGCCTCTGTATTGAGTCTGAGGCCCTCACCAACAAATTTGTGAGTTCTTTTCTTTTCAGAACGATCAGAGTGAGTTTTCCAAGCTGCCGTACCTTTGTAATCACCATTAGACTCAACCAACTCTTTCTAAATTCTCTGCAATATCCTCAGATTGACACGAAACATTTTGAAATGTTCATATTGGACCTGGCACAAATGCCAAGCAGTACAGCACACCATTCACAAATTTCTGGTGCTCTTTTTCTCACAGAACGTACCCAAATTGCCCTACTATACTGTGCAGTTGATAAAAACAAACAATGCACCTCCGTGAAATTAAAATTAATAAAATGGCGACAATTTACCCATCACATCAGTATCTGCGTGTTAGTTTCAAGATGAATAGTATCCA